AATGGTTTGCAATGGCTTCCCCTCCCAGGAGGGACAGATCCATCCATGGCAGACTTGGGATCGCACCCGGCACATTGCCATAACCATATATTAGCCCTGAAACACGAAGTCGAGGGTTTGACATTCCTAAAATACAGGGCTCTCGTCAAGTTACGCCTACAACGGAGCCCAAAATGTATGTGGTTGAGTGAAAGCTTTGCTAAGTGATTCTCGGCCCATCTGAGGACAATTTCTTGCCACATTTGTTAATCACCGCAGCGGCGACCCTTGTGTGGATTCGGGTCCTTGCAGGAGGACGTGTCAACCGCGAATGTGCTGGTAAGAACAGTACACGCTGCTCCTCTTTAATCTCAGCCTCGTCTCCGGATCCTTCCAAGCTCTTGAATTGTTTGCCCTGGATAAATATTGAATGTGCTTTGGGGCCAAAGCAAACACAACCCTATCAGAATTGAAAGATCAGCTCATGGGTGAACCAAGATTGGCTTTTGGAGCCGGCTGGCTGGTGAAATCGAATCAATTCAGAGACCCATCGGATGCCACAACTCCCAGTTGGACAACCGGGAGATGCTTTCACAGCCCAAGATGTTCCCAATTGGAAAAAGGGCAGAGAAGAGCAACCAAGATGGTTAGGGGACTTGGAGGCTTAAAACATATGAAGAACCATTGCAGGAATTGGGTATGATTGAATAGTTCAATGCAAGGGTCTTCAGACTTGTCAAGTTTAAGACTTGTGGACTTCAACTCCCACAATTATTACCCACCTGCCTTCAATTGAGGACCTGCATACTGCACGAGTCAAAAAGAGGGCTGTGAAAATATCTACAGACCCCTCACATCCCAGACATAAGCTGTTTCAATTCCCTCCGTCAAAATGATACTATAGAGCACTGCACACCAGAACAACTAGACACAAGGATAGTTTTTTCCTGAAAGCCATCACTCTGCTAAACAAATAATTCCCTCAACACTGTCAAATTATTTATTAAGACTGTTTTACTATTATTCTCATCACTCCTTATCACCCAGCCCCTCCCACCCGTGACTGTATGACTGTAACTTTGTCGCTTGTATCCTTATGATTTATATTGACAGTTTCCTAGTATGATTTGATTGCTTATTGTACCCTAGGACAGTAACTGTTGTACCCGATGATTCTTGACTCTTGATCAATGTATCTTTTATGTACACCGAGAGCATTTGCACCACGACAAATTCCTTGTGTGTCCAATCACATTTGGCCAATAAAAGAATTCTATTCTATTCTAATTCTTGAGCTAAGGTGACTGGAGGAAGAATTATGGGAGTTGGAAGTCCACAAGTCTTAAAGCTGTCAAGTTTGAAGATCCCTGGTTTAATGTAAAGAAGGACTAGGTGATAGGATAGCAGCCATCCAATATTTGAGGGGCTGCCCCAAAGAAGAGGAGGGGGTCAAATTGTTCTCCAAAGCACCTGAAGGAAGGACAAGAAGCAACGGATGGAGATTAATCAAGGAGAGAAGCAACTTAGAACTAAGGAGGAATTTCCTAACAGTGAAAGCAATCGATCAGTGGAACAATTTATCTCCAGAAGTTATGAATGCTCCAAGTTACGAATGCTCCTTGTTCTGATTGTGACTCTACAAATGCCTTTGATTTTCCATTCGTCTCGCCTTGGCTGATCTCCAAACCCCAAAACTTGGGATGGGACACCACTTAGAAAGCCCAAAAAACAACAACAACCCAGCACGTTGCTATTTTATTGCCCGACAAACAATGCCAGTGTGTTCAAAACATCCCAGCAGGCATCATTAACTCAAAAGAGTATTTTCCTTTGCCGTGGGAAAGGCCAGCTGCTAGCGACTCCTTGAATGGGAGACCACTAGGCGATCTACAATCCCACATTTGTAATGTTTTCTTGCACGGACAAAATATATAGGAAGGAAAAAAAACAACAACCCACCTTTAATAAACAGTTTTCCTTTCCCTATTTCTCACCCAATTTCCATACTGTTTAAGTTGGAGAAAATCTCTATCTGTCTATCTGTCTGTCTGTCTATCTATCTATCTATCTATCTATCTATCTATCTATCTATCTATCT